GCTCCATTCCCGACGTGGAGATCTACTTCACCCTTCGCCAATTGTCTACTTCCCCGCAGTCCCTGCACATTTGTACAAATGTGCGAGGCACATCCGGTATCCAATACCCATGATGTAGAAGTACACAGTTAGCCTCTATAATGAAGATACCAGAAGTTGAAACTTCTGCAAGCTTCTTCTTCCTCTGAACTTCCAGGTAGAGTCTGCAATTTCTATACCAATGCCCATCAGCATGACAGAAATAACACTCTTCGTTCTTGGGTTTGGGCTTAGGCTTAGTGACAACACTTGTCACTTTTCTCTTGCCCTTACCTTTGGAACGCTTCCTTTTGTTGGAACTCTTTCCAACAACCACCATATCATTCTTTCCTTGGCTCCCAGCTTTCTCTTGTAATGACATATTCAACTGATCAACCATCAATGAATTGTACATGTCATCTAATTGTTCATGCAATTCTGAAGACATCTTTCCAAGCATCAAGCTGGACACGTCCAGATCATCATCCTCATGCTTCCAATAAGCATCAATGATCGATCTAGAAGCCGTGGTCAGAGGCTTATCCTTCATAAGGATAGATCGCATGGTGAGATTAACCAGATTCCTGCAACAGATATGTACTATAGAAAAAGACAAACAAACAGACAGAAGATATGCAAGTCGCTTAGTACACTTACTAACACAGATAATAGATGCAATATGACAGGCTCCCACTAAGAAAAACACCCTCAATGAGTTTCTAAGTGAGCTAGGATCCATATTTCACATGCTTTTGAGTCAGCTAGGGCATGACGCTCAAAACCATGCTATTTAGGTAGACAACACTTTGTCAATCACATCCTATGTGATTCCTAGATGAGTATGCATGTTCCTCATCCCATCCTTACCATCAGGTCCAAGTCCGACTTGATAACCCAATTCAAGCTCAACCATATTTGAACTCTGAGAATCACGATTTCTCCATACTGCCTCACCAAGATAGTCAGGCACGCTCAGCTAGGGCATGACCCGATCGAGGCCTTGACAGTTGCTCTACTAATGGGCGGTAACAACTTGAGATTACATGAGGCATAGGTGACTTGAACATCAGGATACCTTAACTGAATTCAAGTCAGTTCAGTCAAATTGTTCTGATCAACTCAGTTGAACTACACTTAGTTCTTGAAATACACTTAGTTCTATTGAGTCGTCTATGTATAGAATCCCTTGGCCAAACAACAATTGTTTGCCTTAGATTCGATACCAGAACCCTCTCAATATCCTAATTCAGATATTTGATTCGAGACAACGATTGCACAATCAAAACTCTGAATTCTGGATTATCATCAAGCTTGGTCTTATATGAGGCTTTGATTCCAATTCTGATAATTGATCCGACACAACGATTGTTCGATCAAAAACCTGAATTTTCGGAATCCCGGATTGTCTGAAGTCCAGACCGACTGGTCCGGCCTGTGGACCGATCGGTCTGACCAGCACAGACCGTTCTGAGTTGTTCGGTCTTGGTTCGAGACCCAGATCGGTCGGTCCAACCTTTGGACCGATCGGTCCGGACCTATTCGGACCGAACGGACTGATCACTGGTCTCGAAGTCCCAGACCGGTCGGTCCAACCTTTGGACCGATCGGTCCAGTCTCTCGGACCGAGTGCAGACCGACCCCGAAGATCGAACGTTCCACCAGACCCGGACCGATCGGTCCCAAGATCAGACCGGTCGGTCTATCGAACGTGATCCGACATCCTCTTTTGGTCATCGGTCCAGACCGGTCGGTCCAACCCTTGGACCGGTCGGTCTGACCTAATTTGACCTAAAAGGGAATAACTGTCGTCACGCGTAGACCGATCGGTCTACTCTCTAGACCGGTCGGTCCACGTGACGGACAGACTTCGGATCTCGGTTTCAGGTCCCGAAAACTAGGGTTTTCATCCCCGTTTCGACGCACCGTCAAGCCTCCCAAGAACCATCGCTCATCCATGCATCATTCAACAATCAAAATAATCAAACAAGCATAGATCTCATGTTTACATGCATTCTAACCATTAAAACCATGAAAAACATGCAAAGATCTATAGTCTACATCCATTCTAACAATTAAAATCATGCAAACCTGCAAAGATCTATTGTTTACATGCATCTTAACAATTAAAATCATGCAAACAGGCAACAGGCACGGCGATATATAGAGAACCAGACTCTGATACCACTGTTGGGTTCCCTACGGATTCCTAGCATGTGATCTCATCGGTCTAGGGTTTGGTTTCTAGGTTTCATGCAGCGGAAGAAAAAGATCTAAACCTAGCCAAACGTCACACAAAACCAATTGTGCAATAACCCGAAAGAACGTGTAATATCACCGTGGGATTCGAATACTTACCTCGTTCTATCAAGATCTGGAAGTATTAATCGATCCAGGGCCTGTTTTAATCACCTAGAGTTGAAAGCACAACTACTCTACACGTATCCACACCGGCGGGATGAATTCCAACACTTTGGAACGTATCTGCTAGGATTTGTAAAGAGAAAACGATGTCCTAGACTTGGAATCGATATTCCGGTATTTAGAACTCAAGAGAAAGCTTCTCCAAAGCTCTAGGAAGTGTCTAGGACGTCTGAGGATGATTACCTAGAGTTTGTGGCGGCTTCCCTCATTAATTAGTATTGCCCAAAACCCTAAAACGCGAAAAAAGGAAACTGTCCCGTAAGTCAGACCGTCCGGTCTAGGTCTGGACCGGACCGTCTGACCTTCTACGCAGAACGGACGATCCGTAACTACACGCAGAACGGACGGTCTGTACGCCTGGACCTCGCGAACGGTCGGTCCATTCTTCAGCGGAACGGACGAACTGACATGGCTGGACCGTCTGGAACCCTTCCAGCTCGTTCCGTGGTTCCTTTCTCGCATCGTTTTCTTCACGTGTGATCCATCCCTAATGGTGTGTGACCTTGTAGGCCCATTCGAAGTGGCAGTGGCTTCGGAAACCCTTTCCCGAATCATAAGTCATGGTTCGTCTCTAGCAAGACGCCATGACCACCCACCTAGAATAGAGTTAGAGGTGATCTAACAAAGCCAACAATAGTTCGAGTTCTGATCCTTTGTCTCACGATGTCGTATGTTGAACAAGGGCATGGTATGAACCACCCTTCAAGTTCAACCGCTTACTCGTCTAGGCAAATCGACTGATAAAATAGATGCAACTGCATCTATAGCGTGGCCACGCATTTTCACAGTCTGATTTCGACGAGGGGCCCAGCGACATCTCTCATGCTTAGTAGGTGACAAGTCCCGTATTGCATGTCTATTATCTGCATATGATTCGTGAACGTATCTGAGCAATGCCGTTATGATCATCCGGTTAAAGACGACGTTTGACGCAGTCAAGACACGCCACTCCTCATATCAGATCCTCTAGACATCTCAGGTCTAAGGATCCAAGAACGAAACGCTGTATGAGATTCAAGTCATGACTCATGTCCATATGATAATCTCATGCGGGTCATCCAGTCACTCGTTCCAAATGAGTACCCGTGATTGTGATTTGCATCCAATGCATATGATCATCATCATCAATCACACATCATGTTGGTCTTAATTCATCACTTTTCCCACAATGACAACTGACCAGAGATTTTAGAATCATCTGCAATGATTCAAGGATATCTACCGAAATATAACAAACATGCCAATCATATCACGGGAAAAGTAATGCATTCATAAACCAATGAATCAATACATAGTCAAAATGTCATATCATCATCGTAGAGCATTACAACCAACAGTACGAGGCTGCATGCCATCACCACCGCCACCGCCTGCTGCACCACCTGCGCGGAGGGAGGTTTGCCACCACCACCACCGATGCCTGTACCTCCGAGGATTCTAGAGCAAGTGGTAGTGGACTACTTGCCATTCGTTAAAGAACTCCGAGCCCTGGGCACTCCGGAGTTTGAGGGTTCTTTTAGCACGGAGGCAGATGAAGACTGGATCATCAAGATTACTCATCATTTCAACTATATCCGGTGCCTGCTGGGGTACCGTACTGAGATTGGGAGCCATCATCTGGCTGGCGCAGCTCGCCACTGGTGGGAGAGAGTCGTACGTGAGGCTCCTGCAGAACACCAGTTCTTATGGAATGAATTCCGGGCGAAGTTTGAACAGAAGTGTTATCAGAGGCAGGATCAGGGCCACCGCATCGTGGAATTCCTTCATCTCGAGCAGGGTAACCTGACTGTTCGAGAGTAGGAAGTGGAATTCAACCGGTTGCTGAAGTATGGAGCTCATCTAGTTCCAATCGAGGAATACAAGATCCAAAAATTCATCGCTGGATTACGTCCTTCTCTCAGGAAGAGAATCGAGTGTCATGAATACCCTACGTTGAGTCGGTACATCAACCAACTCGACAAGGTGAAACAAAGTGAGAATGAGAAGATGGACGCCAAGATACAAGACCGTGGCCCATACAGGAGAGTTCCGACCAACCGTCCCCCTATGAGGATTGACCAGACAAGTCAACCTCGCGATCAGGGGAAGGCTCCAACATTTCTCCCTACAACACCAGTGCAACCACTACAGTTTACGAGGTCATGCTCTAAGTGTGGTCGAGACCATACTGGACCCTGCGGGAACACCATGACATGCTAGTTACGGTTAACCGGGGCATTTTGCTGCTAGATGCACTACAAAAATAGCTCCTCAAGCTAACAACAAGCCACTGCATCCACCACAGAGGAGATCAGGGATTGCACCGAGAGTTTATGCTCTCACGACTGAGGAAGTTGCCCAAGAGGACCCGTACACAGTGGAGGAGCCATAGGCGGCAGAGCCGTTGACCACCTATGAGGTCACTGACGACGATTACACAGAGGAGGCTGACATTGCTGCCATCATAGGTACCATTTACATACATGAAGTGACATGCATTACTTTATTTGACACAAGAGCTACACGTAGCTTCTTGAGTGAGAAAAAGGCAGGAGAGTTGTCGATCATGGAGATTGATCACGATGTGTATGCCTGTGAAACAGACTCTTCCAATACAGGGGATTTTGTATTGCATGCCCTTACCTATCTGCGGGAGGATGTTGACTGCAGATCTTATCGTTGTACTTATACGGGGTTATGACTTGATAATGGAAATGGATTGGTTGTCGAAGCATCAAGCCCAGATTAACTGTCGCCAGCGAGCTATTTGGTTCAATGAGGAGAGCGGAGGATTTGAGTTCGTTGGGAACAGGTCACGGAAGGTGTATCCCATTATATCAGCATTGAAGGCCAACAAGATGGTCGAGAAGGGGAATGAAGCCTTCCTGGTTGTAATCATACCAACCGAAGAAGCAGAAGCAAAGCTGGAAGACGCTGCTGTGGTTCAGGAATTCCCAGATGTATTTCCTGATGAACTACCCGGACTACCACCAGAACGGGAGGTAGATCTCCATTGAGGTTGTGCCAGGAACGGAGCCAATATCTAAGACCCCCTATCGGATGGCTCCGATCGAAATGACAGAACTGAAGAAGCAGCTAAACAAACTAATGGAGATCACAGGATTTATCCGACCGAGTGTATCACCATGGGGAGTACCGGTGTTATTTGTGAAGAAGAAGGATGGTAGTATGCGACTCTGCATTGACTACTGAGGCCTTAATCAAGTGACCATCAAGAATCGGTACCCCTTGCCGAGAATTGATGAGTTGCTTGACCAACTGCAAGGAGCGAAATGGTTTTCAAAGATCGATTTGCGCTCTGGGTATTACCAGATCCGAGTGAAGGTTGTGGATATTCAGAAGACTACTTTTCGAACGCGATACAACCACGTTGAATTTATGGTCATGCCATTTGGATCGACGAATGCTCCAGCGGTTTTCATGCAGCTAATGCACCGTGTGTTCATGAAATATCTCGATGAGTTCGTCATAATCTTCATTGACGATCTCTTGATATATTCACCGGACTACCAAACTCATGAAGAACACTTGTGGAAGATCTTATGACGATTGCGGGATAATCAGTTATACACTAAATACAACAAGTGTGGTTTTTGGTTGCAAGAAATTGGATTCCTTGGTCACGTAGTGTCTGCGCAAGGGATCCAGGTTGATCTGGCAAAGATCGAGATAGTAATGGGTTAGAAGACGCCTACTCATGCGACCGAAATTCGAAGTTTCTTGGGTTTAGCAGGCTATTATCATCGTTTTGTTGAGGAATTCACTAAACTGGCATGAAACTGACAGGAAAGAATATATTGGTTTAGTACTCTATGATGTACTGCTGTATGAGCTTTATTTAGATACATTTGATGTATTGACACTTTGTATGGTTTTATGGATGAATGTTTGATTCATTACGTATTGTGCATGCTTTAATATGTTATGAAATCCATGTATTGTTCATAACACTACTAAACTCCCTAGTCATATGTCATTATGAGAACAATGATGTGTTAAGACGGTAACAATCCAAAAACATGCCTCCACGTTTTACTCACCTGCTCTTTTCACTATCACCCACACACTCTCTCTCCATTTTCTTTACGTATGTTCTCCTATATGTTCTCATGTTGTTTCCCTTCACTCAATCGTTTCTCAGAGACTCCTCCATCGCATCCTTTCTCTAGCTACTGACTATCACTCAATCTTATGTCTTTTGGTTTGGTAAGTCATCTCTTTCTTTTCTTTTACTTCTAATGCTTCACTCTTTCAGTGTCTCTCTCTTTTCATCTAGTTACTCATCACTCCCAACATCGATTTTCCTCTCCAGCGATAATTTTGATCGAATTAAGCGAAGGAACTACCATCTAAACAACCCACAAACCCCCAAGAAGCAAAGGAATTCAACTATGAGTGAATCGAGTTCAATTCGAAAATTCAATTTTTATTAATTCTTGGTGATTTCGACATGTTTGCATTAAATTGATGTTTGATTTATATCATTGAATGAATTTTTGTGAATTTTAGGTTTTAATCCGATAAATTTTGATATATTTGAGTGTTATTATAAAATCGCTAGATCCATATCAGACCGAACTAATTTTGGTCCGGACCGAATTATAATATAAAGAATAAAAAAATATAATAATAATAACCATAACTAATAATAATAATTTTGAAATAATAATATTAATAATTATAATCATCATAATAATAAAATAAAAAATAATAATAATCTTAATAACAATAATGATAACGCTAATAATAATAAAAATAATTATAATCATCATTATAAAGTAAATAATAAAATAAATAATATTAACAATAAGAAGAAGAAAAAGAAAAAAAAATAAACTTACGAAAGATTCTAATTTGAATCTATATTTCCTTCTAAGGCGTGTTCTTCAAGTTGATAAAAAAAATAATGGTAATAATAATAATAATAATAATAATAATAATAATAATAATAATAATAATAATAATAATAATAAATAAATAAAGTTAAAGAAAATCTCAATTTATCGGTCCAAATAATAATTCAGAACCAAATAAATAGAATTGAAATAAAACTGAATGCAGGTTGGATCAAACCAAAGCTCAAGGCAAGTGCAAAAATATGGGATAACTTGAATTAGTAATCCAGAAGGATCGAAACTTAATTTGAACAAATTTATAATTTAAAAAAAAAAGAGCTTGGGACGATCGTCCGGAGCAAAAAAAAAATTAATACTCAATTTGACTTCTACAGACCCAGAGGAGTTCTAGGAAGTTCTCTATCCATCACCCAAATCCACTATCCACTATCCGCAACCCGCAAGCATAACCCGAGGTGAGTGAATTTGAGTTTAATTCGGAAGTCTATTGACAAGGGGTTTGGGTTTTGAGTATTTCTTGATTAATTGATAATTGATTCACGTTCTAAATTGAAATAAGAATTTTTGATGAATTACTCGTACAAAATCAGGTATGTTTGTGTAAGTTTCGTGAAGAAGAGAAAAATATAATAATAAACCGAAAATATGGGTCAGACCGGACCCCACGTAGTTTGAACCCAAAAATGAATAACAAGTAAGCCTAAAAACCAGGGAATGAACCGGACTGGTTATCCGGGCGGACCGAGACCAGATAGGTCAAACCAGAGGTATAATTCGGTCAAACCAGAGGTCAAACCAGGGAATGAACCGGACTGGTTATCCGGGCTGACGTTGCCGCTATCACATGTATCATTTGCATACATGATGTTGCATGCGTCACTTTGTTTGACACAGGAGCTACCCATAGCTTTATGAGTGAGAAAAATGCAGGAGAGTTGTCAATCATGGAGATCGATACGACTACACCTGCGGGACAGACTCTTCTAGTGCAGGAGATTTTGCATTGTATGCCCTTGACTATCTGTGGGAGGATGTTGACTGCAGATCTTATCGTCGTACCTATCCGGGGTTATGACTTAATACTGGAAATGAATTGGATGTCGAAGCATCAAGCCCAGATTGACTGTCGCCAACGAACTATTTGATTCACTGAGGAGAGCGGAGGATTCGAGTTTATTGGAAACAAGTCACGGAAGGTGTATCCAATTATATCAGCTCTGAAGGCCAACAAGATGATGGAGAAGGGGAAGGAAGCCTACCTAGTTGTAATCACTGCAAGCGAAGAAGCAGAAGCAAAGTTGGAAGACACTATTGTAGTTCGGGAATTTCCCGATGTTTTTCCTGATGAATTACCCGGACTACCACCAGAACGGGAGGTAGACTTCCCTGTTGAGGTTGTGCCAGGAACATAGCCAATATCTAAGACTCCCTATCGGATGGCTCCGACCGAGATGGCAGAACTAAAGAAGCAGCTGAACGAACTAATGGAGACAGGATTTATTCGACTGAGCGTATCACCGTGGGGAGCACCGGTGTTATTTGTGAAGAAGAAGGATGGTAGTATGCGACTCTGCATTGACTACCGAGGTCTTAACCAAGTGACCATCAAGAATCGGTACCCCTTGCCGAGAATTGATGAGCTGCTTGACCAGTTGCAAGGAGCGAAGTGGTTTTCTAAGATCGACTTACGTTCTGGGTATTATCAGATCCGTGTAAAGGCTAGGGATATTCGGAAGACTGCCTTTCGAACGAGGTACGACCACTTCGAATTCGTGGTCATGCCATTTGGGTTGACGAATGCCCCAGCCGTCTTCATGTAGTTGATGCACCGCGTGTTCATCGATTATCTCGATGAGTTCGTCATAATCTTTATTGACGATCTCTTGATATATTCACCGGACCAACAGACGCATGAAGAACACTTACGGAAGATCTTATGGAGATTGAGAGATAATCAATTATACGCTAAATTCAGCAAGTGTGGTTTTTGGTTGCAAGAAATCGGATTCCTTGGTCACGTCATTTCAGCGCAAGGTATCCAGGTTGATCCAGCAAAGATCAAGGCAGTAATGGATTGGAAGACGCCCACTAATGCGACTGAAATTCAAAGTTTCTTGGGTTTAGCAGGCTATTACCGTCATTTCGTTAAAGGATTCGCTAAACTGGCAAAGCCAATGACGAAACTGACGGGAAAGAATGTACGCTTCGAATAGACAGAAGATTGTGAGAAGAGTTTCATGGAACTCAAGAAGAGGTTGACAACTGCACCTATTTTGGCGTTACCATGCCCAGGTGTTTCGTATGACGTGTACACGGATGCATCGAGGCAAGGATTGGGTTGTGTTTTAATGCAAGAAGGACATGTGATAGCGTATGCATCCAGACAGTTGAAAAGACACGAGGAGAACTATCCGACTCATGATCTGGAGCTAGCCGCAATAATCCACGCTCTAAAAATTTGGAGATCTTATCTTTACGGTGAGAAGGTTAGACTCAATACCGATCATAAGAGTTTAACCCATGTCATCTTGCATAAAGATTTGAACCTCCGACAAAGACGATGGCTAGAACTGATGGCTGATTATGACTTAGAAATTGCTTACCATCCGGGTAAAGCAAATGTCGTAGCTGATGCATTGAGCCGGAAGAAGATATTGTCTGCTATCAAAGTACTGTCCTCATCACAGGAAAACATAGCAGAGTTGTCAGCTATATTGGATCATTTGACGATTGCCGAGGATGAACAGTTCCCAGATCTGAGGGGTGATTTCAGAGCAGCGCAATGACCCAGAACTCATGATGTACATACAGGAGATTGAGCGATATCGTGAGAAAGGGTATAGTTGGATGATGTACAGGAATTGAGACTGCATAACCGGCTTTGTGTACCGGATAACGGTGAGCTGAGACACAAAGCTGAGACAGAAAATCTTGAAAGAAGCTCATCAGTCCAGATTAGCGAGTCATCCAGGAGCTAGCAAGATGTATCGAGGCTTACGACAATGATATACATGGCTCGACATCAAGAAAGACGTCGCAGATTTTGTTGCGCGATATCTGACGTGTCAGCAAGTGAAGGCTGAACGACAAATGCCTGGAGGAAAGTTGCAACCATTAGAGATTCCGGAGTGGAAGTGGGA